GGACTAAAGCAAGCAGGCAGAAGTTGGAATCTGCGATTCGATGAAGCACTCGGTAAGTTTGGTTTTATCAAGAATCCAGATGAATCTTGTGTTTACAAGAAGGTCAGTGGGAGTGACATCGCCTTCCTAGTCTTATATGTCGATGACATATTGCTCATTGGAAACAACATTATGTTGTTAGAGTCTGTAAAGGCTTGGCTTGGAAAATGCTTTTCAATGAAAGACTTAGGAGAGGCTTAGTACATACTAGGCATAAAGATCTATAAGGACAGATAAAAAAGGATGATTGGATTGAGTCAAAGAACTTATATTGATAAGTTACTTGCTTGGTTTGGCATGGAGGAGGTCAAGAGAGGTCACCTTCCAATGTCACATGGCATAACCTCTAAGAAAGAAGCAGTGTCCACATACTCCTGATGAGCGCGTAAGAATGAATCAGATTCCATATGCTTCGCTTATTGGATCGATCATGTATGCCATGATATGTACTAGGCCAGATGTATCATATGCCTTGAGTGCTACGAGCCGTTACCAATCAGATCCAGGAGAGGCGCATTGGACTGCGGCCAAGAATATCCTAAATTACCTGAAAAGGAACAAGGATAAATTCCTGGTGTATGGTGGTTCAGAGGAATTAGTTGTGGAAGGCTATACCGACACAAGCTTCCAAATTGATAGAGACGATTTCAAATCGCAATCTAGATATGTGTTCTGTCCGAATGGAGGAGCGTTCAGTTGGAAGAGTGCCAAGCAGAGTACAACTGCAGATTCTACAACTGAAGCCGAGTAATTAGCAGCTGCTGAAGCGGCTAAGGAAGCTGTTTGGATTCGTAAGTTCGTTTGTGAACTTGATGTTGTATCCTCCATAAAGGGTCCAATAGCCCTCTATTGTGAAAAAATGGAGCTATTGCTCAGGCCAGAGAGCCAAGGGAACATCAGAGAGTCAAACATGTCAAACAGCGGTTTCACATGATTCGAGAATGGAAATCAGAAGGTGAAATCAGAATTTGCAAAGTTAGAACGGATGACAATGTAGCCGATCTACTTACTAAACCTTTGCCTTAAGTGAAGCACAACAAGCACGTTGAGGCAATGGGAATCAAGCATGTAGGAGACTGGCTTTGATTTCCTTGTTTAGTGTTTTAGTTAAAATTTTGAACATTTAATGTAAGACACTAAGAAAAACCATTCAAGTTTTGGAGTAATATAAATTTCATGCAATATTTTATCACTTTGTTTGTTATTTAATTGTGGTTTAGGATTAAATAATGAGTCCATTCGATTCTTGGAATATTCAAAATAGGGTATCAAGACTAGTCTTGTTAAGGAAACACCTATTAAGTGAATGTTGAATATTATAATAAAAAATCATCCCTAATCGAGGTCATTTAAACGATGGACGATTAATGACCAATTGAGATTAGTTTGTAGTCTGATTTATAGCACCGTTTCTTGTGCTACGAGGACATGATTGTCATAAATCATTTGCACAGGTATTGGTTTAGAACCATACTGGATCGACATATGAGAATACTTTAAGAGATTAAAAACGTCATAAGTATACTTCTCATTATGACTATCGAAACCTATTTCCTCGACCATGAGTATTGTGAGTTCTCTTGTTTGTGTACTAGTCCGCTTTGATGTTGTCAAACGTCTGCCGTAATAGGGGATTATAACGGCAACACTCGGGCGGCTAGGTCCTCTCAGTAAGAGGAACTACATTACAAGACTGGGAATGTCCCTCTACTAAAATAGGGAACATGTCTTTGTTGTATACAAGGCCTCTCATAGAGCGAGACTATGAAATGCATGGCTGTGCTCGGATGGGTTTTAGAAATCATCTGTTTATTGGCAGTCGGACTCTAAATCGAGAAACACTTCTGGACGTAATAAGGTTGACAAAATAATCTTACCTTATAGTTCATGAAGAGACATAGGAAAAAGGTTGTACAGTAATTAAATGCGCACTTTTCTGGAAGGACAAGTGGGAGATTGAAAGTAATGGTGTCCTTTGAACAAGTGTACTAATCCGTTAGTGGGTTCAGAATTATTAGAAAGCTAATATATTCAATAAGGTCAAGTGATCGGAATGCCTAGGTGGAGGCCGCTTCCGATCAGTAATATTAATGCATAATTAATATTACAACTTAATCTTGACTGAACCCTTTGGGTCACACCCTTAGCAGTAAGCGAACTAACGAATTAATTCGGAAGAAATTAATTCGTCGCCCGAGTATTAAATATTTAGACGTCGGAAATTCGAGCTTAGAGCGTCGAAACCGAGCGTCGAAAGTCGAGTAAAAAATAATAAATTACGAGACACGCAAATAATAATAAATTGCCAATATTTCCCAAAATACCCCTAGCATCATATCGGAGTGCCCCGAGCACCCGAGTGCTAGGGGCAAATATGTCCTAGCATAGGTGGCTAGCAAGCGCACCAAGCGGAGCCATGCATGGCCGGCTGGTGCGTGCTAGCGCACCACTGCTAGCAGCCGCAAGCAACACATGCTAGCAGCCGCAAGCATGCGTGCCAGCAGCAGCTAGCAGCGCACGCACGTGGCTGGGCTCTCGGCTGGGCTGTGGCTGGGCCATAGGGCTGTTTACTAGGGAAGCAAGTGGGAGCATATGGAAGCAAGTGGGGTGAGGGACATGTGGCACAAGGAGAGTATTGAGTGGGGAGAAAGTATGGTCCCCTACTCTCCATGTGGTCCTCACCACCCTTTACATATGATAGTGCCACTTGTAGATTTATTATTAGTTTGCTTATTTATTTTAATTTAGCTTTAAAATAAATTGTGGAATTTCATGACTCCCACATTGATGGGATATAAATTCCCACTCTCCCTCTTGCCTATAAATACCCATTTTGGGTTTTTGGGAAGAGTGCTTGAGTAGGAGTTCAATAGATTGCTTTAGCAAAAACTCTTAAACTCACATAATACTCAGGTTTTGGTCGGACCGCGCTAACCTTGAGGTAACGAACCTAAAAGTCGCTAATAGTTTTTGCTGGTAGACTTCCATTGGAGGCTCGCGTATTTTCGGAGCTTAAATCTTTCAATTAAGAGCCCGACTTTGAGGGCAAAGCACGCTACAAAGGTAAATTCCGATTTTATCCTTTTAGGTTTATTTGTTATGCTTTATGGTTTTATTAATTGCGAGTGGTTCTTTGGGTCGGGGTTGTTTCCGCGGTAAGTTAGACTTACCAAACCCCAACAGGATCGTAATATCTGGCTTCGGATTGTAGGACTCAAGTTTGTGTTATGACAATTTGATCAGTGTGTGTTGTTAAGTGTGTTATGACAATTTGATCAGTGTGTGTTGTTAAGACATGATCTATTAATTTCGTGGCTTGGTGTATTGTTAATTTGAATATGTGATGATTAATGTCAATTGCAGCTGATTTTACATACTAAATTGAAATTAAAGGTACAAAAATATAGATAATATGCCGCTTTTTAATGAATTTGGGCCAAATTAAATCATCTAAATACTGAACGAGCCCAACAAACAAATAATGGATACATCTAACTAGCCCATCAAATAAATTGAAATGAACGTACTGAAATACAGATAATTTGGGCGCATTTTAATCAATAAGGGGCAAAATATATATCAATACTGAACGAGCCCAACAAACACATAATGGGTAAATATAAGAGGTTGATTAAACTTGAAATAGCTAAATGGCCAACCTACCTATATACCTAACTAAAAGAAGTCTAATCCAAATCCGAATGATCCAAATCCACCCCCAACCCACTATAGCAAGTAGGGATGGCAATCTAGTCCAAATCCACCCATAGTCTGATCCAATCAGAAGAAACAAATCCGAATTATCCGACCCGCCTCCGCCTTTTTCATGTACTTGTATAATTTTTATCATTCAATTTATGAATTTATGGGTATTAAAAGTTGATTATATATTGGTTGCTATCGATAATTGGGTCAAAATTACTTTTAAAGTCAGAGTCGGAGTTGGATCGGGGCGGAGTCGGAAACAGAATAATTTTTGGTAAGATTTTGCTTATTTTTGAATTTATCAATTGAGCATGAACTTTCGAGCTTATAACCAAATTACACTCATACTAATTAATAATAAAAAAAAATAGTTTGATAGGTCTTGCGCAATAAAACAAATGGGTCTATTGTTTACAAGTGCTACATCTTTCAAAATATGAAATTGGTTGCAATGCACACGTATGACCATGCATTCCCAAAACCATAACAACAAATGAGTTCTTCAAATGGCCTAGCACACATCTCTCCTCAGAAAGCTTCAGATGGAGTAAACCAGTCCACCCCATTTCTTTCTAGAATGTCATCAACCCCTCCTACATCTGCGGCAAAGTCATACACTGCTACATCTGCAACATAATCATAGTAGTCCTATTTTTAGTTCTGGATCTGCATACATTGTGCTTTTTTCTTCTTCGCCTGGAATAATTCAACATTAATGTGTTTTTAAAAATCCAAAACTAACATTAATGTATTACATTAAATTACAGAACAGCCATCAACATGTACAAATGTCCACCTAAAACTTACATCAAGGTGGAAATAATTTTTAAAATAGCAAATTATAATCAACTTACAGGTAGTTTTGTATTCACATGTTGCTGAACGACTGTCTGGCCAAGCACATCTGTTCCGGCAACAAGGTTCATGTTGTTGTCCCCATTTTGTTTACCTTTCTTCTTCTTGTACCCATTCTCTAACAGGGATTTAGCCCTACCCTTTGGCTGACCTCGAGGTTTCTTCCAAGACAGAGGATCCTTCTTCACCACAGGCTTGGAAATAGAGTTGGGAGTTGGGCTTGACATGGGATTGTTAGATCCTATTTCTGATGGGGGTAGTAGTGTCCTTGGTAGGGTAGAAAGAGAGGGTTGATTTTCAAGGAACTTCTCCCTGCTTTTTTGCACTTCTAAACGGAGCGTTTTTAAAAAATTGACCACGAGATCAAAAGTTTCCTTGTCATTAATAACTCATGATGCTACTTAACATATGGGGTCAAACTCCTCCATCAATTTGTTGTAACTCTGATAAGTGGAATTATCAGTAGGGTCGTGATAGGCCACCTTTACTCGAGTATGCTTCCGAGCTACATCTTTGCGCCACCTTTGAATAACATACTTTGATGGAATATTAAAAACCAAATTCTGATCATACACTCTAATCACATCAAATGTTTCAAACTTCCTGCAATCACATGACACGTCTTTCGTAACAGTTTTAAATATAATACAGTCAAATCGCCACCTATCAGTTATCTCTTCTTCACTTATCCCTTCAGGGATTATCCAGACCTTATCTTCAAGGAGGTATTGAATCAAGTTCCCATCCAAGACACGCTCGTCCCTCCCAGAGCAATGCATAAGTCGAGTACACTCTGTCTGAATCTCTTGAAACTTAGTGTAAGTGTAAATTTCCTGGAAGAATTTCACAATGTAGAATACACTAAAGAGACGCCTAAGATATTTGCGGCACCTCGCATCTGCATCTTTTTCAGCTTTCACACGCCTCTCCATTGCCTTTTTGTACTTATCCGGGAATTCATATAGCTTTGTTTTCCTATTTACAAAGCCATCAAAGAAACTATTGATGCTTTCCACTCTTTGTGTAGTCTTCATCCTAGCCCAAAAATGCTCTTTCATAAAGGCTGGCACCCACATATGCCGTTCATCATACAAATCAAATAACCACTCAGTGTCATGTAGGTTATACTCCGACATTAACTCAGACCATCTACGCTCAAACTCCCCAACTGTGAAGCTCTCGTATATAAGAGTCTTAAGAGGACTCTTAAAATCCTAATATCTGAAACATGTACAAAACTACTTACATTCATGTCATAATACTTAAAATGGTCAAAGTAGAACATAATAGAATCATATCTGAAAAATGAGATTAATTCATGACCAAAGCAAAGTAAAGCATAATAGAATTGCATTTAAACACAAGGGGACATCAACACACATGAAAATTCATTCATGACATATTTTATGCACATGGACAGAAAACTGACAAAGATATATGTCAACTCCAAATCAAAAAATAATAGCACGTACATAACAGGGAGAGTTATGGCACATAAGTTGCAAGTATGAGCTAGAACATGACAGATTCTTACTTTTGAACCAGGATTTTCAAATATTTATGTGCCAAAATTTAATAATGAATTACTACATACCCTTCACATTTCCCGAGCTTATCTGGGAATTTCTTCAGAATGTGCCAAATGCACCAACGATGTCGAGCATTAGGCATCACTTGTTCCAAAGGCTTTCGCATAGCAGCAGCTTGATCGGTCAGAATTGCCCCAGGTTCTTTATTTCCCATGCATGACATCCATTGTCTAAATACCCAACTAAATGTGTCTGAATCCTCATGTGACACAAGTGCACCACCCAACAATATAGATTGCCCATGATGATTAACCCCTACAAAGTTGGCAAACGGGAGCTCGTACTCATTAGTGAGATATGTGGCATCAAAACAAACCACGTCACCAAATTCTTCATAAGACACTCTACTACGAGCATCAACCCACATTACGTCCTTCAAACGACCCTCTTCATCTAGACGGTGTGCTCGATAGAAATTTTGATTATCCTCTTGCATCCGGTCAAAATACGCCATCATAGCAGTTGCATCACCACCTTCCATTTTCAGCCGCTTCTCCTTTTCCTTGTGCACTTCATGTTCAAGGTCCTTAACACTAGGGAGGTTGTCCCCCCCTCCTCTCGGTACCAATGCACTCATGTATTTGTCTTATGGGGACACCTTCTTCATAGTAATTCAAAAGTTTCTTTCTTACATTTGACATGTAATTCTTCATTCGATACTCCTTCACTAACTTAGCATCACTAGGTTTAGGGGTATGTTTATCATGTTCTTTTTTCAATTTCCTTATAACCCACAACCCATCTCTATCAACCCCAGCGTATAACATGGCACCACACTCACATTTCTTAGACGTCCTTTTTGCCCGCTACAACATATCTTCCCCAATTTCACCATTCACCGTTCCACCTGTGCCACAAGCCTCCATAAACTTGGCCCTTTTCTTAGCCTCCCTCCTTGCCCTCATATTGGGTAGACCATAACACTCACACCTCCATGTCGCTGTTCTCCGCTCCTCCTTATCCTTCTTAGAATAATTGGATGCTACTCTAGACACCCCAAAACCTTTCTGCTCGGCATACTCTTTGTTGTAACTTTCTACATCTTCAAGGGATTTGAATACCATCCCTAACCTAGGTGATTCCACGTAACAGTACATGCTGACCTTGTTTGTTGAGACAATAGTCTCCACTGTTTCAATGGTCTTTAATTGGAGACATGGCAGCTAATCTGTTAGCAGAGTTTGGAACATTCAATGGCATAAGGTTCAGAGAGGGAAAATCACCAACACCAAAAGTTATCACTTGTCCCCCCTCAACATCAATAGTATAACTCCCACCAGCCTCACCCATTATCCTAGGCTCAAAATCTGATTCCATAGCCTAACTGCATAACATACACTCCACTTTCGGATTGCAATCAATTAACAGAACAGTATTGAATACCCAAACTTCTATAACAGAAATCACTTAAAATAACACTATTTCAAATACCATAATCGGTCACTTGGACACATAGCAATGGTTGTTACCAAAATAAAGTGTGATATATGTAGTTTCTTCAACCTCAGAAGGGGGGGGGGGGGGGGAATTAAACTCAATACCACGCAATAGCAGTGATGCAAAATAGGTATACTATTTTGAAAAATCAACACACTTAAGCACAATTCACTTCAATCAATATTACAACAACAGAGGTTATTCGTTGACATTAAATTTCAGGAAATTAAAGAAACCCAAATTCAATATTCAAGAATTCTCTTTACACACCCCTATTTAAATAACCAACTACAAACAACAAAAAATAAAATTTCCATTCCCCCCACAACATCATTGAATCGACATTCAAATTAGTTGATAACTAGCATAGTTCCAATGTGATGCACGGTTTACAAATCAACATATTAATTTATAATTTAACTTAATGATTAATAACAGAATCACTAAAATTAACAAATTAAACATTCATTATTGTATATACACACAAATGAAGACTCACAATTATGATCAATGGATAAATTAGGAAATGACAATGTAAATACTGTATATACAAACAAACATTCATCATTGTAGTAATATTTTACGATCCCTTAAAAAATCAAATAAAATTCTAAGTTATTCTCATTTCTAATTTATTTTTAATTTTTCCAAATTGTGGGTTTCAATCCTGTGGAAAAGGCAAACTAATAATAAACATCATGATAAAATATTTTTTTCCTGTGAATAAAGGCTTTATCTAGGTTTTACTTACAACAAAAGATTTAAGTTTGAAACTAACTCTATTTTTTTTATTAGTTGCAACTAATAAGAAATTTTTTATATCCCATAAAAAATGCACCCTTGTTACAACTTGCATGCAAAAGAAACAGGGGTAATATTAAATACCAAATATGTTGAACATTAGTATGATTCATATAAATTTTAGAATATGTTCACTCAAAAACCTAGCCAACCCTAGTACATACTACTCATCATGTTTTTTTTTTCAATTAAATTTCTATTTTTAAACCCCGCATAATACCTGGTTTGCATTACCTCGAAAATGACAATGAACATACACACAAATATAGACTCACATAATGACCAAGGGATTAAGAAATGACAATGCAAAGAATATTTTACATTCCCGTCAATTATAAAATAAAACTTTACGTTATTCTCATTTCTAATTTACTTTTAATTTTTCCTAATTGTAGGTTTTAGTCTAGTAAAAGTTTCAAATAAATTATTTATAAACACCATAGTAAAACATTTTTTCCTTTTATAAAGGTTTCATATAGGTTTTGATTAGGGGATTTTTATCCACCAATCACCGTCTGACAAGTGGACCAACCAGGTTCCGCCACGGGTCCTTCACGAAGGCCAATAGGAGCCTGCCACGTGTCAATCACAGATACGTCCTCTACAGACCAATCAAGGCACGCCACGTGTCCACCCATGCCAAATGGGAAAACCGGCCATCAAGGCCCAATCCAGTCTAGAGGCCCGATCAGCCCTAGGTTTACCTTAAACCTAGAGTGTGGCACGCTTCTCAAGGCTATAAATACTTAATTAATCCTCATTAGTTAAGGAATCGCGAGATCGAGAAATCAAGAGATCAAGCAGAGAAGAACAGAGATATTACGGAACACCAACCACCGGCTAATCTCGCTAACGACGCAGATTACCAACACTAAGCACTCTCACCTAGAGAGATCTTATTACTTTAATTTCCGTATTAATTACTCCTTAATCAGGTACTAACTTGACCGTTGGAGGCGGAGCTCTCAGGAGTCTCCGTTATTTTGCAGGTACAGGCGTCCGGTTCCAGTCTCGGAATTGTAACTCTCCCGCAGGACATCAGAAAACCCCGAAACATTTGGCGCCGTCTGTGGGGAGAGTACTTCAGAGATGGCATCCAAGTCTGTACCGACTCCAGAAGAGAGGCGTCCCCTAGACGACCCTCAAGTTCAGTCGGACCATGATACCGAAAGTGAATTTGAAGTTGAAACTCATACAGCTCCAGACGGGACCCTAAGGGCCCGACGTACCCGTCATACCGAAAGGAGGGAACGGGAGCATCTTCAAACAGGAAGCGAGCCAGCAGGCGCACCGCTTGCTCGGCAACAGCCGACTGATGGGTCTTCTCCCATCACAAGGAACGAACTCATGACCTTCATGAGGGACTTCAAGGGAGAGATTCAAGAGTTGATCAACAAAAAACCGCCTGCTTCAGTCAAAGAGCAGTCGGCCAAGAAACCTTCCACTTCACTCAAGAGGAAGCCAGTTCAAGGGCGAGAGGCGACTCCTCATCCTAAATCCAAGAAGCGGGAGCCACCTGCTCTTGATTTCACAAAACTTCGTTATCCTACGGGAAATAGGAAACCGGTTCGTCATATTCAGGCGGACGGGTCAAAGCAAACGTTCACAGATGCTCGGCTCCTGCTAGAGCAGAAGAAGAGTGACCGATTATCAGAGTCGGCTTCTACTTCAAATTTTCAAGACAGTTTGCGAAATGCCTCGATGAGGCATACTCAGTCGTACCATGAGAGTCAGTCAGGCGGCACCTCCCGTCAGTCCGGCTTTCATAGTGCTCAGGCGGTACCTAACTTACCATTTGTGCCGCAACAACAGTATTTTATGCAGCCACCTCCATTTGGTGGACCTGCAGCAAAAAACGTCCAACCTATGGACTGGCAGCTACGGCTGCTTAGACTTGGTGAACAGCCGTCGGCCTTCTCCAAGGAAATTACTGAAGCCGCTCAGCCGGCCAAAGTAAAAAATGTTCTAGTAGGCGCCTATGACGGCACTACTAACCCAGAAGACCATTTGATGGCATTCACCAACCTGATGTACCTTCAAGGGTTGGATGATCCCACTTGGTGCAAGTGTTTCCCAGCGACTCTCAAGGGAATTGCACAGCAATGGTTCGGCAACCTGCCGACTGGTTGTGTAAACAGCTTCAGGACGCTTGCTTACTTATTTGCCTCCAACTTCGCTATGAACATCCCTGCGAAGAAAACGACCCTTGATTTGGGAACAATTCAGCAGGGCGAGAAGGAGGGGCTTCGTTCTTACATCAGGCGGTTCAACCTGATGAGAATACAGATTCAAGGGTTACCGGATGAGGTAGCTTATACTGACTTTTTTAGAGGTCTCAAAGACGGGTCTACCTTCAAATTTGATTTAGTTCGAAAAAGGGTGGCGACTCTTCAAGAGGCCTTGATTGAAGCAGAAGCCTATATACAGGCGACTGATCTGTGTACGATAAAACAGTCGGACGGGAAGAGGTTCGACAAAAGAGAGGGACGACAGAAACAGTCGTCCAACAAAGATGAGAAAAGAAAAGAGGTCTGGGCGGCTGATTCCTCTAAACAGCCGGCTCAGAAAAAGAAAAAAGAATTCAAACCATACTCCCCAAAGTATGTGTTTAACAAGGATAACCAGTTTATCCTAAAAGAAATAAAGGGACGGTTCTCAATTGAGAAGCCGCTCCCCATGAAGGGTTCTGCAAGCAACCGGAACCAAGACAAAATCTGTGCTTATCATGATGACGTTGGTCGTCACACCAATGACTGTATCAGTCTCATGCGGTACCTAGACCGCTTGGCTGAGCAAGGTGATCTTGACACTTATGTCAAGAAATCTACGGGGAACACCTCCTCAAAAAAGCAGTCGGCCAAAAAGAATCAACAGGCCGACAGTTCCGATACAGATGATGCAGTCGTCTACACCATTGCAGGCGGCTTCTCAGGAGGCGGCCCCACTATTAGGGGCAATAAGGATAATATAAGGCGGTTAGATGTAAATTCCGTTCACCAAGAACGGCCGTCCAAATATACATTCCCTGAGATTGTCATCACTGAAGAGGATCTAGGAGGGGTAAGGGGGCCGCATGACGACCCTCTCGTTATTGAATGTAAAGTGGCCAACCAGAGAGTTGGCCGAATCCTCATAGATACCGGGAGCTCCTCAGATCTCATCAGCAGCAAATGTCTGTCAAAACTGAAATATCAGACGGACTGCATACATCCGGCCTCCCACCCTTTAATAGGGTTTGGAGGAGGAGTCGTCCACCCACTGGGACGAGTAGATTTACCCATTCGCCTGGGCGAAAAAGGGGAAGGACGACACATGGTAGTCCGGTTCCTAGTAGTAGAG